ATGCCTCGTTTACTATCATAATGGTGCCATGCTAGGGGGTCGGGTTTTCCCTTCAGGGGACGTGTATAAATCGATGAATGAATACAGACAGATTGGATGTTGTCTTATATGGATTTTGTACACATACAGACAGCTTCTGACTGTAGGACATAGTTACACACCACTGTGTAGGGACGCTGGACCCGTTTTTCAGCGGACACACGTCACATGATTGTAATGCACATCACATCAAGGTAGTTGGAGATATCAACACATATCTGCATAGGGACGTTGGACCTGATTTCCAGCAGATACATTCACATCATTGTACAGGGACGCTGGACCTGATTTCCAGCAGATACATTCACATCATTGTACAGGGACGCTGGACCCCATTTCCAGCAGGTGTAGCTCCCCACCAATAGACGCAGACTTCGACGCCGGGACCTACTTACCGGGGATGCTCTTATCACCTTGTTAAGTAGGCTGGCTGGAAATGCGCATTGTGGTATGAGGTTGCGGGTTCAAAACTCAATCGCAGCCTCGCGCATGTACACCGATAAGCGCTTTCATAACGCATAAGCCGTTCGCAGGCCCCCCTTGGGACGACGCATGGTAACATTTATACAGACACTGCCTGGCTACGTGACACCCACAGCCTAGGCCGCGGCCAATGAGGCCCTATCCGCGGCCTGGTTTTTAAATATTTTTTATACCCCTAAAAATACGTAAAAATAATTAAAAAAAAATATAGCGTTGTAGGGCTTGTGAAACCCTACAATCCTATATTTTTTATTTTGGAATCCGACCTCATTTAAGATTTTTAAAAATGAAAAACGAAAATCGATTTAAACAAATTATTATAAAAAAAATAAAAAGAAAAGCACAATTTTTTTTTTGTCATTTTTTTCATGTGGGACATGGTAGCTGAGTTGTCCTGTATTTTAAAAAAAATGTTTTTCGGGTTTGTGTCGGGAAATTGGGTGTTCAAAAAAATTTAAGATGCAAAAATTGAAAACAAATAAAGAAAAGAAGGGGTCAGGCTGGGGTTGGTGTGTGTGTGTGTGTGTGTGTGTGTATCTGTGTGTGTCTGTGTGTGTGTGTGTTGGTGTGTGTGTGTGTGAGAGAGAGAGAGGGAGCCAATCAATCAAGCAATCAATCAAATCAATCAAATCAATCAATCAACCAAACCAATAAACCAAACCAATCAATCAAACCAATCTTGATTGGTTTGGTTGATTGATTGATTGGATTGATTGATTTGTAATGACCCGTCATAACACAGACTGAGAACACTGCTGATTTCTGAAGTTCTGCCGATGGAATGGATGCCTTGATGAGATTCCCGCATTCTGCTGTGTTTTCTAAGTCTGTCTGTGTGTGTGCGTGCTTGTGACCTGCATGCCTGTCTGAGTGCTTGTTGGTACGAGTGTGTGTGGGACCCGCAAGGGTACTTGCGGGTTTGGTAGGCCCGTAGGGCCGGTACTTACCTGTGGCCGTGGCATTGAGGGTTGTAGCAGGGAAAACACTCAAGTGGCGAAGCTAGCGGCCCTGAGGCCCTTGGGGTAGCGGAAAAACACTCAAGTAGGCCGGTAGGCCGATACTGCACCCCACTGCAGGTGACGTGAGGGGTAGGCCGAGCAGAAAAAGACAAAGTTGGCATTTTTAGAGTCCAGTAGCGGTAGGGTAGGTCTAGGCCGGTACCAGTCCAACCAGTCTGAGTCTAGAGCCTGTACGGGTAATATCAGGGTCTGCAATGATGTTTCCCTCCGAAACGGAGGAGGTACCGGTTGCTTGGAGAGGCCGAGCGGCCTGGAAGTCACCGCCCAAGAGGCAAGCAGGCCGCCTTTTAATTTTTTTTTTCTCACATACCAAAAAACACCCCCCCAATTTTTTTTTATTTTTTTTTTTATTTTAACAGGGCCATAGAGGCCGACGTCCGACGTCCCCGCACGCGCGCCGTTTTCCTGCGCGTGCCCCCGCCTGGGCCTGGGGTGGACGCGTGGAAACTCGGCCGCGGGCCCGCGGTCGGCCTCCTCGGCTGCCTCCTAGGCCGCAGGATCCGCGGCCTGGGGTGTCACGTAGCTGCCTGGGCACCGCCCAAGGGGTTTTAATTTAGGTCCATGGTTGTAGTATGCTGGAAAGTTGGTCTTGATCTCCAGCATGTAAACTCAGATGTACAGGGACGCTGGACCCGTTTTCCAGCAGGTGCTGCTTCCCTCCACTACACGGAGTCTTTTTAAAATTAAAATTAAAATTAAAAAAAGGGCCATAGGGAGGCCTGCTTGAGTGCTTGGTCTTAGGGGGTCTGAGGATCAGGGTGTTATCTTGGCTCCACCATGGGCTGGGTGGGGGGTGGGAAGGGGGGAGGGTTTACTGCCTAAACTGTCGATAACCAACAGCTGCCAAAACTGTCGAACCGTCGATACCTCTGCGTGGCCACTTGGACCCTCCGATCTGTCAGTCTTGCCAGTATGTACTACCGTCTTCCCCCGAACACAATGCATCCTCATTTTGGCTGTACCAAACCGAAAATATAGCTTGTATACTTTCATTTTCAGGGTGCGTTATGTTCGGGGGAAGACGGTAGTCTGTGGGGGTGTCACGGTCGAGCCTGGATAGAACTACCGGTAGTATGTTTCCCGTCACTATGGCACCAGTATGAGAGTCCACACACAGCGAACCTAGACTACGGTAGGGCTCATCTCGGGGGGATAATCCTACACACACACTGGGTATCAGTATGGGGTAGGTACTGGGTACTTCTCATCCCACAGGTATCTCACGACGCCTGCAGGTGGTGCTTCATCCAGGTTGGGGTCCGTGGGAATTCTCATTGGGGGAATTAGTTGGGACTGTGGATTCTTGGGGAGCCTGCGGTAGGAAGGCACTCATGCTTAGGATAGGGGAGAGCGGGATATCACATGTTAGTGGAAGGGCGGTTTGCTGCCCGGGTCGTCCTTAACATTAGAGTTATGGGAGGGTAGCGTCTGCACGAAGGAGTTCGCCGTTCTGATTAGTTAGGTAAGCGTTGGCGCAGATCACGACTTGCGATCTGAGCATTGGCATATAGTGCCATTCCTGAGGTGACTTCCCCTGGGTCCTCACAAATTTGCAATCCATCTGACCTCATATTGGATTATCATATAAGAGTGTACTACGGGCACCTCCTGAGGCCTGGCCACCACCCTGTACTACTCCCCGGAACTTGAAAAAAAAAAACGAGAAAAAAAAAAGAAAGAAAGAAAGAAAGACTGCTTCTTTGTACTTGCAGCGACAGGCACGATTTTGCGCCTTTCCCTCACTGCCCTCTAGCCCTCCCCATTTCCCTGCCCCCTACTCTCTCTCTCTCTCTCTCTCTCTCTCTCTCTCTCTCTCTCTTTTCCCAAATCCATTCGGTTGTGCCTCCTCCCCCTCTTCTTTACCCACCCCCTTCTCTCCATTGGTGCACCTCATCAGGAGGCTTTTTTTTTTTTTTTTTTTTTTTTTTTACCAATACAAAGATTGAGGCCGGGGTCCTCGCAGTCTACCCGGAGTGACCAAACCAAATTTGCTGAGAGCCGGGCTCAGCGTCCCTCATATGATGATAAAGATAATGATGATGATGATGATGATGATGAACTTCTGCTGAGAACTAGGTAAGTGCCTCTTCACCCTTACAGGGCGCCAGATCCTCATGATTAGTAAGCACATCACTCGCTTTCTAACATAAATCATTTTGTCTATCCAAACCAAGACACTGGCACAAGACAATTATTTGGCGGGGGAAGAAATCAGGGAATTCAGAGAAGGGTCGTAAGGGAATGGAGGGATCTACAGTGGTCCAGTCATTAAAGACCAGTCGATAGTTCTTCTTCAGTGGAGTTTGAGTCTGTGAGGAACCACCTTCCCAGATTACCTTCCCCAGCCTCCCACCCTGGTAAATTCCAAGCCAACTTTTATTAAATTCTTTTATGCGACGCCATATCTCCTTGTCATCAGGAGGCTGAATCCTTGAACGCCTGCAGGATTGGGTCATCACCTGCTTCAGACGCGGCTGCTTCACACAAAGACTTAGCGGGCGGCCAGGCAGGTAGGTGGGCGGGTACACAGCAACACAGCAAAGCACTCAGAGAGGTACGGACTACCATCTTCACCCGAATAGAATGACTGGTCATGATCGCTGCATCTGGACTGAAAGTTGGCCAAAATACAGCTGCAATGACCGGGCGCTCTATTCGGGTGAAGACAGTAGGCAGCAGTGGAGCATACAGCAAGGCAAGCAGATGAGCGGGCAGGTCGGTAGGAGGGTGGGCGCACAACAACGCAGAATGGCATGCAGCACGGCACACAGCAACACAGGAATGGACACGGGAAGGTACGTTGGAGCGCAACCACGACACAGAAACACACGGATGCGGACTATCACCTACTCGCATCCTATGGAAAAAAATCTGCAGACTGTAGGTTCATGTCACCCTCAAGAGCCAGGGAATTGAAAGTCGAATGTCTGTCACGACCAGGAAAAAACACACAGACACAGGCATCCAAAACACAGAAGCCGCCCTAATTGTGTTGCAGGCACTTCTAACAAATGGCATTGACTATTTGGCACATTGTGAAGGTGCTGCACTTAGACACTGAAGAGAACACAGGAAAACCAGATAGACAAACAAACGAACAATGTGCATGTGAATGTGTCTGTCTGTATGTGCCTTTTAGACTGCCGCGACAACAACCCCTTTTTTCACACAGATGAGAAGATCCGAAATTGAAACAGC